TAATATATTGAAAGAAGAATGAATATGTGGAAATTCACAAGGGTGTGTGAAAAATTCAACTTGATCATTGAAGGCACAAATGTACTATGGAAATATCAATGTAATGGAATGTGGTGTCTTTGGAGACAGGTGGTGACCGCAACAAGATCTCTCAAAAAAAAGCTCCCGGCCACGTCAGAAATGCAAGTTTACTATTGTAAAAACGGTGGTTGGCCGTTAAAAACTTTTTGATTGGATCTTCTCGGACTTGTAAAATTTCCATGGAAATTTTTCGTGGTTGGGAAATTTGACAATTTTACAGTAATTTAGAAGCCTCAATAGGAATAATTGAAGCTGGTGGAAATACTTCTTAATACTCATCATGCTCAATTATGATTAATTCACAGTGAACTAATTTAATACAATAATATAATATTTATTAATAGAATCAATTTTGAAAAAAAAATGGGATTTGAATTTAGAAGATTTAAACCACTCACTTCCGAAGAGTTTCATCACAACTTTACTGAATATCAAAAAATGGAAGAGAAAAATGATGTGTATTTAATTGTTGTGGATAAGGAGGGAAATAGTGTTATTCCCGAAACTATTGGAATTAAACTTGCTTACATGTCACAATTTGAAATTAAAATTCGTAAAAAGAGAAAGAAATCTGGCATTGAAAAATGGAAGAAAATTCACTGTTTTTCAGAGAAGGTTGATTTATCTGATCAGGATAATCTACTCAAGAGTATAGAGAACCAATTAAAGATGAATCAAGTTTCGGATCTGGCACTCAGTTCAAATCATCACAGGGTTGTCTCAGCTAAAACTTGTAAAATTAGAAGAAATTATAGAAATTATGAGATTGCTTTCTTTTCATTGAAATTTGAGGATGTGAACGAAACTCTTTATTTTAAATCAGTAAATATTGAGGGAGAGAAAAAGTTTAAAAAAATTGATAAGCAACTAGTTGAAAAGGATCTACCACTCTCATCTCAGGATGCTCAGGTTTTAACTTGTGGTTATCCAGAATTGCTTTTAAGGAAATATTTGAGTGTAAAATCAAATATTCAAAATTAAATAGTCCAAGCTTCCAATAATTCCTCAAGTCTAACTCTAGGATTCTTTCCATCACTATCAAATTTAATCTTACTTGCAATAGAACCAGAATTTTCATG